CTTTTTGCCATTCGGTTCAATTATCTCCAGCGGAGGAATTTCTTTCGATCTCATCACATCGTCTTCAACATTCGAGGAGGTATTTCTGTCGAATTCTTCCGTCTTCTTTCGAATTACTTCCGAGCTTAACGCATGAATAATGTCTAGCAGTTGCTTTTGCTCTTTCGCGTAATTCGTGAATTGAAAGAGAATGTCGTGTCGCAGGTATAGCTGGAACGTCCGTCGATGAACGATGTCACACATTCTATTTCGAATCACGAATATTCAGAATATATTAGATAAACGTACAGTTCAATTTCGACGACGGATCAGTATTCTTCGAAATGTCTGACAATTTGATAAAAATTCGACGTTGTTAACTAGCTAATTAACTTTTCAACTTATAACTTCCGCACATACTCACTTCATCACAGCCATCGCGTAATCGTAACCACTGTTATCCTTCTTCGTCTCTCTCAGCCCCATTGCTGTTTCCACTAAAATGTCAACAGTGGTTTCCGACAAATAGTCGTGACAATCGAACTCCTTTCCGACTTCGTCGCGAAGACGTTCCACCAAATCTCTGCTGTTCTCGTAAAAGAACGGTACGAATGATTTCAGTACGCTCAAATGAAACGTAGGAGCTATGATTTTTCTGTGTGTCCTCCATTTTTCACCGGCGCTGATGAGCAATCCTTCTCCCAACCAAGGTTTGAAATACCTGTGAAAAGGTGTTTACGAATTTTGTTCATTTCTTTATTAACTCGGTGAAGGTTTGAAAAGTAATATATACCACGATACTTTTTCTTATATTATAAACGTCTAATCTTGAGTAAAATTTATGAAACTGACGATGATAATAATTGGGTAAAATCTGTTTTCCCTGCAAGATTGTAAATATGAAATCTTGCGATACATAGAAGGTAGTACTTTTAACAGATATTGTGTAAAATTTGTCACCTGTACTCCGGGGATTTGTCAATATGCATTGGACTGCTGAGGATAATTTCGACGTCCCGAGGATGGTAGAGGAAAATAAATACTTTAGGTCCTAAGAAAGCACGAACTACAGGCCCGTGTATGTCGTATTCGAGCACTTTGTTCACGACGTCGTTTGGCTGTATACCGAGGGTTATTAACGCGTTTCCTAAAATTGGCACCGTTTTTGGGCCTGGAAGTGAAGCGAACTCGTTACAATTTACATGTTCTTCTTTCGAAAGTAATACTTTCTGTGCTTATGCAAGTACACAGTGTTATAAATATTAACATAAAAAATATTGTATTATGTCGTAAGAATTGTATAGTATTTTTATGTACAAGTAGCACACATTACTAGTTTTCCATCATTTGGAGAAGATTTGTCAATGTTTCAGTCGTGGATTGTACGACATTTTACAGAAAATTTTCTAAGTGAAAATCGTGTGACAATTATTCACATAAACTTGGTCGTGAGTGGCTGGTTCAAGAAATTTAGAATGAAACATGAAACGAATCCTTATTTTTACACACCTGGAATTTTCCTCGCCATTTGAATCGCTCGCAAGTTTTCGATGTAGAAGTAAATAGCAAACACAGTTGTTGCAATCGCCACGAGCACATAAGAGACAGGCGTTTGCAAATAAGACGTTGCAAATGTCAACGACTCCATCGTTACGCACTTCTTCGTAAACTTGGATAGTTTAGAAATATTTTAGCTAGCTTCTTTTCATTCCAAATGTAATCAAAATTCCTCCACTTTCTCTATTCCCTTTATTACAAAGAAATTTCACAATAGTGATCGAAGTATCTTTACAATTTTGAAGCTTCGAGCAAAACCACGATGCTGAAGATTATTTATTTAATAAGGAAGTAGCTGTATACTTATTCACGCGAATGGAAATCATTACTTATGATAAAGACTTTCTCACGCGTGCAACAATGGCGGCTGGAACTCACCATCGAGAATTCATTTACCAATGAATCCTCTCGTATCCTCCAGGGTACTTATATGGTTCGCTTAAACGTATGCAAAGCTTCTTGTCCTTTTTTAATAGTAATTATACGGTGACCTTAAGTTTTTGTCAGCTTATTTGTGAAGCAAATTACAAATGTCTGCAGACCCTCTACCTGTCTGCACCAATTTTTTGTTTCACTTGCTACATCGTCAGTCTGCACTTGGAATATGAATGAAATAATTATTGGATTGGAACAAAAATTAGTAGCGTTCTAACGTGAAACTGAGACACAACCATTAGATATATTTGCAGAAGATTTATTCGACCGCATATGCCATTTTCTTCCGCCATCTTTCGCTGTCTTTCAGACAGTCTCGCGATACCATCTTCCTAGAATTTGCAAACTTTCTAGGCGATTTGGTCCAGGTTGCTTGAGAAACTGTACGAATTTTTCTGTCAACCCAATATTTCGGGAGATATTTTTCGCGAAACACGTTTCTCCCCTCCTCGAGGGTAATTCCGATTTTCTCATCCCTAATCGCGAGTGATAGTGACATGTTGTTGCGCACAAATACGTGTAACGTTACCAAGATGCGCCGTGAAAGAACGAAGAGACAAGGGAACGGGTATAACGATCACTGGTCGAAACGAGTTCTTCCAGAAGTGACGTAGCAACTTTCTTCACCCCCTGTATGGAACACATCCGGAAATCGACCCTCGAGAATAATGAGAGAAAAAAAACGGGACATAAAGGGATAGACAGGTATGGGGAAGGGAACTTTTTTTCCGGCGAGTTTGGTCGAGCGGGGCCAAATTCACAAAATTATGAAATAGTGTGTTAATATTTGTGAGAAATAGTAGGACTGTTCTGTTTGATCGGAATAATGCAAATAAAAATTGTTGTGCACAATTTGGAGAAATCGTAGGAAATACGTATGCACGTGATTCATTTATTGTAATTTTGGGGAAACAGTATGCGATATTCAGAACGGAAATGATTCACGAATAATGGGCGCGTATTGTGGTAAGAATGTAAATTCTGTAAGAAATGCAGCCGGAAGTAGGCGCGAGACTGCCGTGCAATTTCTTTAAAATTTGGAGAAGTGAATTTTCAACATGAAATTAATGAAATATTCAATAAGAGAATACTGAAACTGTTTAATTGCATTGTAGTTGTACTTACAAATTTATTTACGAAACAGTAGCAAATTTATATTAAAAATACCTTTCTACCGTTACTCATTCTCTATTAATTTACATTTCAATTAATTTCGTTTAAGAAAGTTAAAAAAATTAATAGAGAAATTGCACGGCAGTCTCGCGCCTACTTCCGGCTGCATTTCTTACAGAATTTACATTATTTCGTTTAGAAAAGAACCAGATAACTTTAAAATCGAATAACGTTTAATTTCTAAAATTCTTCATTTCCTATTTTAATAATTTTATTGTAATAAGAGGAAATTACATAAATTTAGCGTCAACTACAAATTTATTTATGTGTGTGTTGCATTAGGTTTAAAGGTCCCAGAAAAAGTATCCAAAAATCGACTCGTCAGGTTTTCAAACCTTCCGAAAAATCGGCTCAAGTTGGGAAAAACAAACATCGACGTAATCATAAATAATTAAAATGTATTTTAAATATATCGTAAACATTGTTACAGCAGAGGCAAGTAAAAAAGAATGCTTATTATAGTCATTATCAAGGCACTTGTATTTACAGAGTTTTTACTCACTGTATATCGCATTAAACGCAGAATAATTTAAGACTTTTATACAATTGTCTCCCTCATATACGATCAATCAGACGAATAATTCTTGTGCGCTTTACAATTAAGTGTGGCGAACGTGTCGCTGCGTTGTCCTTCAACTTAACTTCTCGCTTAATTAAATTAATAGAATTAATCAAGTACATCAGGCTAGTACAAAAACATTTACAACAAAATTCTGCATTACCGACGTGACGATCTTTTCGCGATCGTTCAAAAAAAAAAAAAAAAAAAAAAAAAAAAAAAAAAAAAAAAAAAAAAAAAAAAAAAGAAGAAATGATACACAAGTGAAAGTCGAAACAAGATTTATAACAATACCGAAGATACACTTTTGATTTTAAGTAATAATTCGCATTTCTCGCTTTATACTCGTTGAGAAACAGAAATTTGCAAGGTAACTCGTTTAAATTTCCCGCTTCTCCTTATCCAACGCATACTGACCGAGACGTAGTAATTAATTAAAATATAATATCATGAGAACAAAGAAACTCTCTTCCTCTCCTTGGCACGCGAAATTGTTTCCCTTTCTTTTCATGTTTATTGCCTTACGTTGTATATGTATATCCTAACTACTTAATGGACGACATTGTACGTACACATAAATAGGAAAGTGTCTCTTTAAATACTCGTCAAAAAATATCAAGTAGAAAAAATAGTTTCGTTGGTTTCGATACGATTTCCTCTTAATTTCACCTAAGGCACTTCTTCTGTATGTACAACTCCTCTCAATTCG